AATACTATAATAGATTAATTACCTTATATAGTATTAACGTATATGGTAACTCGTGAGTCTGTAATGCAGCTGTTAGCTACGAATATTATATACTAAAACGCAAGATAGGATTAACGCCTCTAATAGCTTCGTTCCGTTGGTGGATTAAAGTTAATCGTTACGAAGTGGACTAGACTAGATAGTATTGTATTGACTCCGTAAAGGCAATATTAAAAGCATTAGGTGAGAAGGTCAACTGGTGGAGCAGTCAATCTGGTATGTTGCCCTTGGCACGCACGCCCTACAATCTTTGCCCCAGCTTCCACTAGTTGACACACCGGTGCATGCATGTCTCTGTCTCTGTTGCCTGATTAACCAGCCAGCATTCGAAGCTAATGGCTTCATGCTGGTCCATGTCGGTCTCGGCACGGCACCAATGTTCGATGTCCCCTAGGCCCCGCACAGCCACACTTGAGCCCGTGTCACTTCAATGTTTCAATTGATGTTCTAGCACAGTTGACATGTCCGGTCTGGTACATATATGCAGCGAGTCGACGTGGATATGTTCACAGCAACTTGTCACTTCTAATATCTGACCGGACTCTTTCTCATTAATTTAGCTGCTTTACGCATATGAATATAGCGGGTTTAAACTATGCTAATTATTGCATTTAACCGCATTACGGGCTTTACACTTTTAAGCTTATCGCAAGTAAATAGGTTATTACTAGTAAGTCTATACTATATAACTTTATAATAATGTCCCTTTTAACATATTATGTAGCTTTACTAGGATAATAGAAAGCGTAACACGTTATTTACATGCCTTACGCCTAGTCGTGCACGTATTCTAATAGTTTAGCGGATACATTTCACTTGGAATGCTATAATATTACTAGTAAGCCCTCTTTAGGGCTCTTAGCCTTAACCTATTATAATTTTAACCTATTACTACTAACGTTTATAGTAAATGCAGATAAAAACTGCGTTTATAGGAGCCTTAATATCCCTAGGCTTTTTAGGCTACTAGTAGACCTGCGTTACGAGCTAGCTAGCTACCTAGTGTAAACCTAGTGTATTATATTTACGCTTAAGCTACGTGTAATAAAAGCTTAGATAAAATAGCTTAACCTATCGTTTAAGATATAAGCTTATTTAATTAAAGTCTATAATAGAATATATATTACTATATTAACGAATAAGAAACCCGTAAACACTCTAAGTAGAATTCGTATTTTAGTCTATAAACTAATACCTAGGCCTTTAATTATTATAGTTTATATAGCGCGTAACTCTTAGAGTATTTAAAAGATAATATTTTTAAAACTAAATATTACTTTAAGTAGATAGCGCGAAATTAACGTTACTTAAAGCGCTAACGTATAATAATAGACTCTAGTATATACTATAAAAACTAGAATACTAGTTACTTATATTAATATATTAACCCTACCCCTTATTAGTTTAAGCTAGTATTCTATATGCTAATAAGAAGTTACCTTACTTAAGGCCTAAAGCTATAAGCCTTAAAACGATTTAGCTAAGAGATCTTTTAGTTAATGCCTTAGCCTTTTAAACGTTAATAGTCTTAGAAACTTAAAGAAGAAGCGTATCGTATAATAATAACTATTATTATAGTTAATAATAGAAATATTATAAGATTATTAGCGTGCTTTAAAGTAGAGATTATTTCTTCTTTTCACGTGTATAAGCGGGATTAACGATTAACGTTCTCCACCTATTTAAATCCACGAAATATATAGCTTTATATACCTTTAGCATTAAACGAATAGCTCTAGAAAATATAAGTATACTCCTATAATTTTATTCTACGAAACTATTCGCTTATTATAAGTAAAGTATTTTAGTTTAATTAATTAAGAGGAAATATTAATTAAAGCCTAGTTTAATTAATAATAAGTAAAAGTTATATATATATAATAGGCGAGCACTTAATACTAGGTTAAGAGTATTACTATAAATACTAATTAATTATAAGGTTAAAAAATAGGGCTTATACGCTTAGCCTTAACCTAACTAATAGCATATAAGCGATATTAGTTAATGCGCTTATACCGCTTAACCTAAATAAGCTTTAATATTTATATTTATTAAGGCTAATATTAGCTTACCCTCTTAGTATCTCTTCTAAGAAGTTCTTCTATTTATATGTAATATTAAAGAATATAGCCGAATTAAAGCTATGTAAAGCTAGAAATACTATTACTAATATAGTTCTACGTTATTTAAATAGTACTAAAGAAAGCTTAAGGTAAGTAAGAGAAGAAGCCTTATAAAGTATATAAAAGAATAATAATAGCGCTAAACTATAGCTGCTTATATCCGCCTTTTCCGGCTTTTTATAGGTTACTAATATTAGTTTAACCTTATTATTAGCTAAGAAGAGAAGCTATTTTATAGTATAATAGTATAGTAAATTAGAGTAGTAGTTTTCTCGTAGATAATACTAACTTTTCTATAAAGGTAATAGTACCTAAAAAACTTAGTGTTAACTAGTCTAAGATATTATTTATTTCTTAAAATAGCCTCTCTTAGCGCTAAAGCCTAAACCTAGTGTTATACTATCTAGTCTATTAGTTTACCTAATTAAGGTCCTTCTACTATACTATGTCTGTAGTGGTATTTAATATATTACTTTTCGTGAAAATATTGGTATTTATTTATAATAGTTTCCTTATCGCAGGGCGCCTTAGCGGTCGGTATATTCGCAATCCTCTATCTATAGTTAAATAGAAATGGGATATATACTATTAAGTTAATAAAAATAATGTAAAAAAATAAGACAGATTATTATGTAAGATATCGAGTAACACGATATTTTAGCCGTGCCTAGGACATAGAACTATAAGTAATAACGCAATATACTATAATAGGGTATATATAGTTGTAATATCTAATCTCTCTGCCTTATGCCTTACTAGGTAGTCTTCTTATAACGCTACTACCTATAGGTAACTATAGTATACTATAAAATTATAGGTATTAGAAGATAAAAGGCTAGCTAGCTACTTAAAAGTTTATTAAAAGATTAGTAATTATTCTTTTAAACTAAAACGAATTACATAAGTCTATTCGGGAAAAGTAGGATATTAAATAAAAACCCAACGATATTAGTAATACCTTTTAAATATACTACAACTAATAGTAACTCTTATAACGTGATAAAAATGCTAATAACAAATAAAGAAATTATTAGTATTTATGTTTACTCTTCCCTTTTAAATCATTAAATGTAAGATATTTATACTTAAAGGTCTCCGCTATATATCCACTCTTAATTATCCTATTATTCCTTTTAATAGTTACCCTTTACTATTTCTTACACTTAACTTTAATTACCTTCCCCTTATTCTTATTACGCGAAATCTTATAGGTAACTTACTCCTAGTTTCCCGCTATTACTAAGACCTAAGTATACTTATCTTTATTAATGCTATTTGTATACTCGTTTACATTAATTTTCATGGCTAAAGAGTGAGTAGTAGGTAGGTATTATACTTGTGCTGCGCTAGGCCTGGTAATAAAGCTATAGGAACTAGAGTTATGCTTAAAATTATAATAACTTTATTGCTTATATTCTTTAGGCTTATTTATAGTAAGATTTAACTACGTAAACTTAATAGATAATAATAGAATAGAGTAAGTAAAAGGAGCGTTTAAGGCTTTAGCTATTATAAGCTTAAAGTAGCTAATTATAGTATAAGTTTCCTATAATAAACTTCCTATATTAAGCACCTAGCTTCCTAATATTAGCGCCTTTAATAAGAGTAAAGCACCCTTAACTTTATTAATATAATTTATCCATTTAATTAAAGCCTTTAATATTAAGATTTTAATATATTTATTTAGGTTATAACCCTTTCCTTTAAATAAAGGCGTAAGAACTTTATTCTCGCCGTTAAATTCCTAAGTTTAAAATAGCTTTCCTATTATAATATAAACGTATATCTTCTTTAATTAACCCTCTTTAATAAGAATTTTTACGTAATTTAACGCTTAATTCTTAAGGTCTCTTACGCTTTATTTATCTTTTTTATCTTCTCTTAAGGCGACCTTAATAAAACAATTAGGTTCGCCTACCCACGCTTAGAGAAGGGCATTATACTTGATTTTCAGGTTACGCGCTATATCACGATGGACGAATTGCTGTCTGTTAAGACTCCATATCGAATGTGCTGGAAAGTCTACGGCGTATCGCTCATCCCAGTAGGCGGCAGTAGACTGCTCGTATCCGTCGATCATCTGGTAGTAGTACAACGTTTTGGCAGTGTTTAGAAGAGAATGAGATTGCTGGGAGTTTGAAGCCATTGTAGCGGTGCTGGAGCAAGAACTTGTCTTCAGTATTCCAGAAAAAAGTATAAAAGATGTACAAGTTTGATGAGAATAGCTTATCAGGGTCAGCATATAGATTGACTCTTTAATCCATTTGACAAATGCCGGCTACAGAAGACTTTTTATACCCAAATCAAAAGGTTGGAAAGGCTTGCATCGGGAAAATCGCATTGAACGGGATTAACATCTCAACTCAGCCGTCAGTTTCCAACAGAGCCAATCGAAGTATCAGCCCTTGGGAAACCGAGCCGTCTCAAGGTGATTCCAGGTCATGTACCTACGGTTGGCCGCGGGTTCGGATGGCGCGAGAGTAAGCATGTACAACAGCTAGACTGGTGACTGTGACTTTAGTGACGCTTGTGAGCCCGGTGCGTCATTAGCACGAGCCAACGCTGATGATACTTTGAAGCCGTCAATGAAACAAGCAGGGAAGCAATTGTAACTCCCGCCACACCTTGCAGCTTAGGCACACACCAAGCATATCGTCTCACTGCATGTATTACCCCCGTTTATACTCGAGTCTTGGCAAAACTAACTACGCTCTGGTTTCGCCTCGGTGTCGTTGAGTCGATCGAGGGTCGACGTACTCTCAATGTATTAATATTAATACCAGTTTAAGCCAGCCTCCCTTTACAACTCTTCACTCTCTTTAGCCCCCGCTCCCAGAACTATCTTAAGATTTCGAAACCCATGGACTTGGCCTCCTTTATTGTCATATCATATTTGACCCATGTTTTGCTGTCGCCCAATCCCTGTCCACTGAGATCGACGAGCGTCCCCTCGAAATGTTTCTTTTCTTCGTCGGTGGCCCAGGGCTGGTTCTTGTAAGCTTTGTTGAAGTTGTGGGTGCTTATCTGTACTGTGGTTCCGTCGTGGAATGTATGGAAGAGAAGCCAAGTTGAGGGATTGTAGAACGACGCCGGTAAGAGTAGATATCCGGTCTCTTTCCAGGCTCGACAAAGCGGAGAAAAGTCTTGGGCTTCTTCCATGATGATGTGTTTTATCGTATCTAGTGAGGGTATGAGGATTCGAACTACAGAAAATTGTTATTATCAATATTTGAGGGCTGCCAACGTTTTATACCTCAGGACCACCTCTGTAGGGACAATGTCGAAACTTTTTCTATGCCGAATTTGAATACCGTCTCAACCCTGCTGTATCTTCAGCTGCTATGTCGATGATGGTTAGCCTGACGTTCTGATCAACGGCCTGTGTAGCAACACGAATGATTGACACAGCCTTCGTCCCGGACAATCCAGGTCTCAACTGCATTTTCATAGCACAGGCCAACGAAATAATGTCTCAACGACGTCTGTAAAAAGTTACACCATAATCCTACGTTCAGATATCCCGGAAAATGATTGGTCTAATGTGACTTGGACCGGAGGAATATATTCAGAATATAGCCGACAGCTTGCAAGTCTACATGAAATCTAAACTTGACTTTGAATGATTGCGTGAGTCCTGCAATAGACGGACTTCGGGGGAAATGATTATTCACTTCGCCCTGCGGAAGAACACCGAGCTTTGAATTGCAGTTCGCCTCAAAGACTTCGATGGCGTATTTAGTGTGCGACTACGTATGCGAGTCTTTGCATTAATTCTGTACGTAATATTGTCTATAAATTTTATTCACGCACAAAAAAAAAAAAAGAAAGAAAGAAAGAAAGAAAGAAATTATGGCTTATCCATCTACTGAAAGCATTTACCAGCTATCGGAAGCCGAAACTATGCTCAGCCTCATTTACGACACCATTTTTGTATATCGTATCCCATACTTGCAATCACGACAGGCGGAATCCACATTCGATCACTGCGTTGGAGAAAATGCTGCGCGACGGCGATACTGGCGCAGAGGTACGCCAGCAAGAAAGCCATTGCAAGGTCCTATACGCAGAGTCAGAACTGGAAATATGCTCTAGTTATGGGAGTTCAACTTACTTGGAAGACAAGGAGGGAAAACACTCCATACCCGAGAATTGCCCAGACGAAAAAGAGACCAAAGCCCTCGATAGTATCGTTGTAGCCGATTCCGGCTGTTACGGCAATTTCCCAGTTCCAAAAGATGGCAATAAAATTCCAGGCAAGAGGGCCGCAGATAACTGAAATGCGAGTGAAGTGTGAAAGCTTGCTATGCTTAAAGTAAAGCACAGAGAGGTTGAAGAAATTGAGAATCAAGATGCACTCGGCCCAGCCAAAGGCAGAGCGTACAAACAAGACCAGAAAAACAACGTGAAGTAAATTGTTGATGCTGAAATGATTGCTGATTGTGATGTAGCTGATGTCGTTAGAGGCCGCGGAAATATTGGCCAGCATGTGCACAAAGAGCGCAACATGCATTCCTACCCTAAAAGGTGATTTAGCTGCGGATCTGTCTGTTGATGATCGATACTAACCAGTAGGCAATGACCATGTTTGGATCAATGGTCAGGCCTGTCTCATACTGAAAATTCTGGTCCCAAATGCGCGTCCCAATCGTGGGACCATCTCGGGGTGCGCGGACTGTGTAGTAGATAGAGACACCGGCAGAGACACCCCAAGTAAGCGCATTGATAACATGAGCGAGAACGAATCTTCGGTCAAGATCCACTCTGGACACTTCGTTGACTATGTATGAAGATCAGTACAAGATAGGTGAGGGGGACACCGGCCTGACGCTTACGAGAGGCCGACCGCTTCTTCATGATGGCGTCTAGGCAGAACTGAATGCTAAGGTTTCTTTAATTTGATGAATATGTCTTAAATGGCAAGAGGAAGACACGAAGTTGTCTGAGGTTTAGAAGCGGAAGTCGGGACTTATATAAGCCCAGGTCATAAACGCCGGCTTTCCTCATTCATCCTCGGTTTATCCTGTGTGGCTCGTCCAACGCGATTTTAGTCTGTCATCAGATACCGCCCGGGACTTTATTGGCGCCTAGGTGCATATGACCTTTTCCTCTTTCAGAGCAGCAAGGCATGTTTATGCCATAAATCGCGCAGGTCACATCGCATTACTGCATTTGGGCACTGAATTGGATTGGTTGTTACACCCTCTGGGGCGCTCTTAAACTGTCTAACTGATGGTACCGCTCTAATAGGTACTATCTAGATTTAGTGTATTATCTGATTCAGTTTCCCCAAGCCCGGCCGAATCTCCGTGCTGGAGATTTTGACGGTTTCGCACTTTGACAATACGTCGAGGCGTACCCAGAGGTTTCTAGGTATAACGGTAAGTTTCGTCTCCCTCGTACGCAATCACGTAGTCAATGGACACTCACCAGGTGCTTCAAAGCAAGAAGTTCGGCAGACAGCTTTTGTATCTGCTTGTCAGCATTTTGTTTCTCGAGACTCCTGACGTAATGCAAATGCTGAATTTCAGTCTGCAATCTGCAATTCTCTCTTGTCAAATTAAACAGCCTTATTTCATAGTGCGTTATGGAGCGTAAATGCATGATCTCTGAGCCCAGCGCATTGCGCTCTTGTAGGGATGTGAGTGGTGCTTTGACACCATGACTCTGAGCTTCTGAATGATCCATCGTAGAATGAGGTGAGGTGTGACTTTGCATTGTATGGCTTCCCTATTCACAAGGCATTACATACTGTATTTATATTTAAGGAACCGGCGTTATCTTTGATCGGCCGATGGGCTCCGTCGGCTTCAGTTTCCGGACGGCCCCATATCGGGGCAAAGAGAAGGTGATGCCCCGGCTTTTTTTTTTGTGATGAACCCCGAAACCCCGCTATTTTCGCCGATACAACACCCGCCCAGTATTGTGATTCCTACGGACGGCATGAAGCTAGGCGCCCATAATCCACGAAAGGGTGGAGACAAGGGTGAAATTTTTCCAAATAGGTTACTCTGGTGAACATGGGTTGGGGGGTAACACGGCACGGCAAGTGCTGTTGGGAAACTTTGCTGCTGGGGTGCTTGATTTTAAAGTGGAGACAAACTGTGATAGAGTTGCCTAGCTGTTACCTACCTAGGTACTTGCTCCTCGTTTATGCACCCAGCGGCTGGCTGAAGGACTCCCCAACTCGAGTGCTTCGATCACATCACATTAATAACGACGCATGCAAATGCATTACAAACTCAAGTGGCAATCTATTAATCATTCTATAGCTTACAAGGCCCAGGACCAGGGTGTGGCGTCGCGAAGGTTGTTAAACACCTTTCCAGTTCGAGCCAGAGCGCCAAGTTGCCATTTCTGACCAACTGCAGGCGGACCAATCGAGCTCCGGAACGACTCGGCTCTCAGCGCATCCGGCTCCGTCAAGTTCAACGCAACGAGGTTGCTAAGGCGCCGGAGCCTGTTTAGCGGAAGATCTACGCTATGAGAGGCGAATGTCATTCTGGACTGTCGATAACAAGACTCGAATGTATCATGTACTGAGAAAATGCGACCGTCAAATTCTGTCCAGGTTATTCCATCAATATTATCTCGTCTTTCTGCTAGCCAGGCGTCCAGCAGTGCGTGGTGCGATGGCCGAATGAAGGACCGATACAGGGCCCCATAGTCAAGCAGGAAGGACTGGGAGTCTCTGAGTGATCGCGTAACCGGCCCTCCGCGTTTGGCCCGATGGAAAGTAAACCCTTGATGTCTGTATTTCTTCACATCAAGGTGAGCGTTCTTGTATTTCTGGCCCGGCCATGGTCTCCACATAGATGAGTGTTTGTCCTTAGACTGGGTGTAGTACATGTGGCCCGCGCACCATCCACTGATGAAGCACTGCACATGGCTGGCGTAAAAGTCTTTGATAAAGCTCATGCAGCTGTTGATGCCTGAATAAGAAGAGCCAATAATTAGTTCGATGACCTGAGACCCTGAGCTGGTTTGTATGTATCCTTGAAGAACATTGAGTGCTTCTCTCGCGCTGCTTGTGTCCTGACTAGGCGGAAAAGCTGACTCTTCTGAAGCAATGCCCAAGGTCGGCTTTTCCAGCTCAGATAAATGGCAGGCGTCCGATTTGAGCCTGTTGCCGCAGTTCATCTCCTTGTATGTCTTTAATCTGCCGTAGAGCTCTGTTCCGAGTAAATTTTGCGCTACAGCTGGATCAAGGGATTCTGCCCGTGAGTTGAGACACTCGAGATCCGCACTTGAGATGGAGGCCGTTCCAAGTGGGAGAAGCGACCTTGCCACTTCAGCTGCATCAAGCTGCCACGAGACCCCGCAAATTTCCAACACATTAACCATGTCTAAAACTGATTCCTTGTACCCGGGAACGAAGAAAGTCCATACGGAGTCTTCACTTGTTGACGACGGGAGAAAGAACCCTAAAGCGCGCGGACCAGTGATAACACAGCCCGAATCAAACATGGCGGACAATAATGTCAATGGGTACCGGAACGTTCGCGATAAATACCCAACGGGATCAGCTCGCGACTCGTAGCACTGTTTGAGTATTGAGCTGTAGGTAAAGGCTTTTCTCAAGACACAGGCATCTCCTATGTCGAGATTTTTCATGACGTTTTGAAGGGCTGTGGATTTTTCTGCGAAAGACATCTTCAGGGAAGGTGGAAAAGAATTTGGCAGTGTTCTAGATGTGTGGGGTTGGTACAGAAGATGGTCGAGGCGCTGAAAAAAAATAGCCTTCTCACTTGAGCCTTAGCACCTTTAAATAGTTACATGCTCTGATATGTCTAATAAAAAGAGCAGGTTTAGCATTCGACTTGATCTCACGTTTGTACGTGTTTCGCAGCTGAATGCCTTGATGCCTCTCTTGTTCAACAGTCTGGTACTAAATCTAGTTCTGGTCATAATAGGCTGGGCCATCTCCGTTTGGCACTAAGCGCTAGCTGAGGGCGCCAGGGCACCACTATCTTTAGTCACAGCGGCTGTCTTCAACCGACCACATTTCTTATTCCTCATAATTTGGCAAACAGCCTTGAGTAGTTAGTTTTTTGAGCGCTTAGCACGCCTGCAGGCTTCCGGCATTGGAAGATTGCTAATATTTCGGTCTCGCAATGGCTGTGAGAAACCCCTGCTTAGATTAGTAAAATTGCAATTTCGTAATAAGATAGAAATTCTCTCTAAGAATTAGGAATTGCATGGAGAGGCAATTTGATCTCGTCCTGGCGGTGAGCGTGGGCGCAACTTGACACCGATTGACCGTTATGGGTGGAACAGCGGACATGTATGGTAATCCTAGGTGTAATGGGCGCTACTCTTTCGGGGGCTTATCCCCTAAGTTTTCACATGGGCTTTAAACAATTAGGGAAGTTGCTGGTATGATCCAGGAGGTGGTGCCGGTAGCCTCGCTTGCAAGGTTACCACCACTCAAAGGGTGCTGGTAGCTTGCTTCAGAATGCTACTGGTATCAGCGAGTTATCGGTAACATTCATCGGTCGGCTGGCAGTAGCAGTGGTTTGCTAACTAAAAGTTACTAATAACACGGCTCTTGAAAGCCATCGGGTGCTGGTAAACGATACGCAATGAGGACCTGGTACTAGAAGATGTGGCCAGCGTTACTGTCAGCACCGATTTTCTCAAACGCGTTGGTGACTGGCAGCTGGCTTCACCAATGAGCCGCGAGTCGGCGGCCGGTTACAAGGATGTTGGGGTTTGCGCAGATGCAGGCAAATTGATATGTCATTATTTTTTCTATAACACTAGCTGAGAATGGTCTTATGTGTATCTAGTAAATAGACTAGCTAGACGACAAGATGCCCTGCAGTAGCCATACGGCGACCGAGACCTAGGCTTAGGGTGTGATCTTCTGTGAGTCCGCCCCCGCCTTCCCCGGCGACTCTTGGTTCGAAAGTCGTTACTTTGGCGTGAAGACCGACGGTTACGAGATGATTTAATCCGGCCTAGTCTATTTTATAGCTTTAATAAATGTAATATTAATAAGAGACTTACTAGTTACCTTACAGTTTAGTAACGGTATAAGCGCACGCAAAGACAACTAAAAGCTTAACGAGAGTTATAATTACAATGTATTTTAGGTAGCATCTAGGTTACTATTATACGATGGGGTATTATGCCTCTTTATAGAGTAACTCTAGTTAATTAAAGAGAGCTTGCGATAATCTAGGTAATTTTTCCATATTACGTTAGGACTAGTATTAGTAACTAGTAGATCTAAGCGCTTTTAGCTCACCTTAGTTTTTCTCGGCTAGTATTACCACTATATCGTGCGTGTACCTTAATTCTAGCTGTATAAAAAGCGCCGCGTCCCTTTGCTTTTATTTTAAGCGAAGCACCTTAAAATTAACTTTTACCCTTTACGATGCCCCTTACGTTGCCCACTCTTTACTAGCTTCTTGCTTAGCTCGGGTATAGTAACCTTGGTTAACCTTAAACAACGATCTTCGTCTATAATATACTGGTTTTTTTAAATGCTATTAACCCTATAAATTGCACTTATTATCTATCTTATAATTCTACGCTTAAGGTTTATTACGGGCTTACACGGCATTTTTTAGACCTACTCGGACGCGGCGATATTTATTAGCTAGGAACTAAAGACGCTAGCCTTATTTATACTGCTAATCTCTAAAAGTAAGCTCTTTATTATGTCCTATTAATTATAACTTTAGTTAACATGTTAAGTAGAACCTAGGCACTTATTAGGTATCTTTTTTTTCGCTTTACTAAGGAAATTTAGCGCTAGAGGCGAACGCTTTCTTACTAAAGTCGCGATGTTAAAGACGGCTTTAGTCTTAAAAGACTCTTAATAAACTATAATGCTAATATTATAATCTAATAAAATATTATTGCTAATTATATAATAAATACCTACTATATTAGTAGTTTCCAGTTTAAATATAGCCTAGGAGAAGACTTTAATAGGTATATAAGCTATAAAACGTGGGAGCTTCTATACAAGTTTAAAGTCACGTTACTCTTAAAGCTTATAAGCGAACTACCTAAAGCGGGTAACGCATTTAGTGTAAGAATTTCATTTATTAGACCTGGTTTTTATATTAGGGGAGTTACTTTTAATAAGAGTAACTTTAAGAGACTAAAGGTTAAGCTAAATAACTAAGTCTATTAACTCTTAATTAACCGTAAAATAGTTTAAAATAACTTTAATATACATGTTCAGATAATAATTCTTAGAGAGGTTTAACCTATAAGTTACTAGATCTTCTTAGAATAAATAAAGAATGCTAAATATTAAGCTATATAAACAATATTTAGGCTGCCCTTCGCTTAGTAGTTAATGTTACTATTTTGTGATTATAACGGCCCGTGCAGCCTGCTAGCTAGGGTAAATCGCACAGGTTAGGCGAAAGGTAGGACGTGTATCTGGCTATAGAGGAAAGACGTGGGGCAGCTAACTCCACATTCTAAAGCACCTGAAGCATGAGTGGTAGGGTTAGCGTCTGCTATTATAAGGCTTACTAGCGTAGGCCTTATTGTTAGTTATTAGGGCCCACATAGTGCGGACCGTACCGTTAATAACCAACTAAAAGCGATAGTTACACCTACGCTAGCTGTCGTCTTTATTTAGTTAACAGGCTTTCTTTATAAAACCAGGCTATATCACATATATATATCTCTTAAAAGCTTTAGTTTTTATTACTTAAGTGCTATATAGATCCCGTGCCCTAGTGTTAAACTATCATAGAATCTATAATTTACTTTTATAATATCTCTAATAAGAAGGCGAAGTTCTCTTTACGAACCCCCCCGTCTCACCTCCGCCACCCGAATTAGCGCCTCTTATTTAGTAATTACGAATAGTTTTCCGCTTTTCGTTTCCGACCCCGACTCCTATTATAATAGTGCATACTATTTAGAAGCATTAGCGATAGTCGGCTGTTTTAGCTAACTAGTAGAGGCAGTAGTAATAGGGAAGGGGTTAATAGGTCTTACTACGGCTCTTACATGCTTATAATTACGGTAGCGAACTTATTAAGTGAGCTAGCTACTAGGATAGGGGAGTGCTCTAGTTGTGGATAAGGGTTAAGGTATAGGGTAATTTTATAGCACTTATTCTCTTAAAGGTATAAGTTCGTGTGGATAGATAAGAATAGGCCTAGGTATATTAATAACACGGTATAAGGGAAGAAAGTTAAAGAGACTCTAGGAATATTACTGCTATTAATAATCTGTAGCTTTATATTATCTATTCGCCTAGGTAATAGTGTTAGAAACCATAGACTAATTCCGCTATCTTTATTAGTTAGTAATTCTAGCGTCGCGATGCTACGGTGCAGTTGATCTTTGCACTCTAGAACCACATAGACTCTAGGCCGTCCACGGTTGTTGGCGTCGACAACTTTGCAGGTAATTGGTGCTATATTGTCGTTTATGGTAGTTTCCGTTTATGATTCTTTGCACTAATATATATATATCTCGACTCAACGAACTTCGGCGGCTAACAATCTTTAAGATCTACGGAGTATCTTTACTTTAAATCTGTTATTTTGGCCTTTATTAAGTGCGGGACGAAATTTAGGACCTGATCTGATCGTCCCACTCTCGTTCGCCTTCTCGATCTACCAGCTTGCAAGGCCCCGGGCCGTCTCCACTCTTTTTTCGGCTTACCGCCGTGATGTCGGCCGGTTCTCTTGCGCTAATGTTGCATCCTTCACTCGAGATTTTGGGGGTGTGGGCGGCGGGTTGGGGATATGGGCAGTGCTGGTTTCTCGGGCGTGCACGTCCAGTCGCAGTCGGTACCTAGGCGCTTGCGCGTGTCCGGGATTAATAGGATAAGGACAACGTCGTGTATTTTTTTTAAACTAGAGAAATAATTATCCCTAGACTGTCTAAAATTGCTGCGGAGACCGACCCCCTGCGCCTCTCATCTCGCTTTGCACGGCGTCTTCCGCTGCAGTTGCGTCCCAGGTGGCCTCCACTATAGTCTCTCGATAGCCCTAGAACGCAGAGCAAATGGTATTTAATAACGTGGGCTAGCCCATTATCCTGCTTTTTTATGTATTGCCTATAGGCAGAAAGTTGTTATTGTAGCGCGATATTCTGGCTGTCTATCTTATAAAGAGATCTATATAGGCCGGCGTTTTATTTTTAAAGCTGAGATACTTATCGTCTTAGTATATTAATAGTGTCTTAGCTCTTAGAAGATTAGCTAGGTAAGACTAGACGACGATTAGTAATAGGGTAGTGTATACCTCTTTCGCTTAAGTCGGCTTACTTAAGTAAAGGTAGAAGCTTTTTAAACGTGTAGTTAGTTATAGTAAATTAGCGGTGATTCGTTTACACTTAAATAGCTACGTATATAAGTAAAATAGATATTAAAGTAGTATAATAGCTTAAATTAATTTCTTATATAAAAAACTAAAATTATACACGAATTACCTTCTAACGTTTATATAGCCTCTATTACTTACCCCGCTTAACTGTTACGAACGTTACTGCACGAGACGCGGGAAGCTGAGCCGCACTGGCAAGGGTAGGTACAGCTACTAACTAACAAGAACATCAAGTCACGTGATAGCTTATTAGATCATATAAATGATCTAATGAGACGGGATTATTAGGATTATTAGGCGATTTAAATGATTTGGGTCTATAATAAAGAGATAAACGAATACTTAAGGAGAAGGTATTCTTATAATTAAATAATTTAAATCTCTATTAATTAATTTAAGTAATAGTCTTACTATTAAGAGTTATACTCTTAATAGCCTTATTATAATACTACTTAAAAGCTACTTTATAGTATTTAACTTAACTTACTTTTTAAGAAATAAACCTATTATATCTTAAAACCTAAGCTATTATTATATTTTAATTAATTGGTGTAGTACATGTGGCCCGCGCACCATCCACTGATGAAGCACTGCACATGGCTGGCGTAAAAGTCTTTGATAAAGCTCATGCAGCTGTTGATGCCTGAATAAGAAGAGCCAATAATTAGTTCGATGACCTGAGACCCTGAGCTGGTTTGTATGTATCCTTGAAGAACATTGAGTGCTTCTCTCGCGCTGCTTGTGTCCTGACTAGGCGGAAAAGCTGACTCTTCTGAAGCAATGCCCAAGGTCGGCTTTTCCAGCTCAGATAAATGGCAGGCGTCCGAATTGAGCCTGTTGCCGCAGTTCATCTCCTTGTATGCCTTGAATCTGCCGTAGAGCGCTGTTCCGAGCAAATTTTCCGCTGCAGCTGGTTCAAGGGATTCAGCCCATGAGTTGAGACACTCGAGATCCGCACTTGAGATGGAGGCCGTTCCAAGTGGGAGAAGCGACCTTGCCACTTCAGCTGCATCAAGCTGCCACGAGACCCCGCAAATTTCCAACACATTGACCATGTCTAAAACTGATTCCTTGTATCCGGGAACGAAGAAAGTCCATACGGAGTCTTCACTTGTTGACGACGGGAGAAAGAACCCTAAAGCGCGCGGACCAGTGATAACACAGCCCGAATCAAACATGGCGGACAATAATGTCAATGGGTACCGGAACGTTCGCGATAAATACCCAACGGGATCAGCTCGCGACTCGTAGCACTGTTTGAGTATTGAGCTGTAGGTAAAGGCTTTTCTCAAGACACAGGCATCTCCTATGTCGAGATTTTTCATGACGTTTTGAAGGGCTGTGGATTTTTCTGCGAAAGACATCTTCAGGGAAGGTGGAAAAGAATTTGGCAGTGTTCTAGATGTGTGGGGTTGGTACAGAAGATGGTCGAGGCGCTGAAAAAAAATAGCCTTCTCACTTGAGCCTTAGCACCTTTAAATAGTTACATGCTCTGATATGTCTAATAAAAAGAGCAGGTTTAGCATTCGACTTGATCTCACGTTTGTACGTGTTTCGCAGCTGAATGCCTTGATGCCTCTCTTGTTCAACAGTCTGGTACTAAATCTAGTTCTGGTCATAATAGGCTGGGCCATCTCCGTTTGGCACTAAGCGCTAGCTGAGGGCGCCAGGGCACCACTATCTTTAGTCACAGCGGCTGTCTTCAACCGACCACATTTCTTATTCCTCATAATTCGGCAAACAGCATTGAGCAGTTAGTTTTTGAGCGCTTAGCACACCTGCAGGCTTCCGGCATTGGAAAATTGCTAATATTTCGGTCTCGCAATGGCTGTGAGAAGACCCTGCTTAGATTAGTAAAATTGCAATTTCGTAATAAGATACAAATTCTCTCTAAGAAATTAGGAATTGCATGGAGAGGCGATTTGATCTCGTCCTGGCGGTGAGCGGGGGCGCAACTCGACGCCGGTTGACCGTTACGGGTGGAACAGCGGACATGCACGGTAATCCTAGGTGTAATGGGGCGCTACGCTTTCGGGGGCTTATCCCCTAAGTTTTCACATGGGCTTTAAACAATTAGGGAAGTTGCTGGTATGATCCAGGAGGTGGTGCCGGTAGCCTCGCTTGCAAGGTTACCACCACTCAAAGGGTGCTGGTAGCTTGCTTCAGAATGCTACTGGTATCAGCGAGTTATCGGTAACATTCATCGGTCGGTTGCCAGTAGTAGTGGTTTGCTAACTAAAAGTTACTAATAACACGGCTCTTGAAAGCCATCGGGTGCTGGTAAACGATACGCAATGAGGACCTGGTACTAGAAGATGTGGCCAGCGTTACTGGCAGCACCAATTTTCTCAAACGCGTTGGCGACGGGCAGCTGGCTTCACCAATGAGCCGCG